TTAGAGAAAAACCCTATCACCACCTTAGGAAGAGATGGCTTATCTATGTACTTCCATCAGTACCATAACAAAACAAAATAAAATAATAGCAAACATTGAGATTAAACAGGCAAGTTTTATTATCAAATGTTAACTCTACAAAAACTCAGTAGTATTGTAGTAAGCATTACTGCCTATCTTAAAGTCTTTCAGAGCTTTGGGCAGATAGCATCTTAAGGCATCAAGTATACAGAAATTTCTTTTCGATCTTAAGTGCCAGTTATCACCAATTTTCACAAAAACCTTTTTGTTTTTTCTTCCTATTGCAGTTAAAGGGCCATTTCCGGTCAGCTGAAGAAGAAAATGTTTGCTTCTCCCTTTAAGGTGTTAAAGTAATGCACAGAAAATAAAAATAGCAGCCATATAAATCTGCACGGCATTGCATTCAAGCAAAGGACAATATGAGTAACTTAAAGAAATATCCACATTCAATGCACTTAATGAAATCCTGTTTTCTTTGGAGTTACATGAGGCAGCAGTACTAGCTAGTGTCCAATATTGCACTTTTATAGCATAAACACAGCTAAACATAGTGTTAAACACTGACAGCATCAATACCTGTTCTAACTGCATCAGTGTTTACCTCTCAGTCTAGCATGCTGACTATAGTCCTATGCTTTAAAAGGTTATAATTATTTGACAGTTAAGGCATTAGAGAAAAAGGTTTAAGGCTATCATAATATATACAAGCATTCACTTCTGTTCAGTTAGTATATCGTTTTCTAGAATACACTGTTCAAATTGTCTCACTTCTGGGATATTAAAAACTATGGAATTTCTCTTATTAAAGTCCAAACCATCAATAATGAAAAAAGTACAATATAAAATAATACATATGAAGCCACAATATTCAATTACAGTTCAAACTAGAAATTACTAACTACAGGTAGCTGCTTCATTTTTGGTTTTGCATTTTGGCCCCTAGTTCATTATTTACAACTGATACCTGCTGAGAAAAAGATCCAAACTTTTAAACTTTGTGTGTTTTGTGGAGGGTGCACAATTTCTTCTAATTTATCTTCAGGAGTTTAAAAATTTATTTTAATTTGTTTTTAATTATTAGATATCATCATGGCCAAAAGACTGGGAAAATAACAATTTTATTCATTCTCCTAAGATTGTGATTTTATTATTCTAAGACCTTACGCTTGAATTACTTAGCAAGAAGGCATGATTATGCAGAAGACAGGAAAATGAAGAGAAAAGAGCAGGAATATACAAAAATGAAACTTCCTTAGCAGAGTTCATGGTGGAGATGGTAGACACTGGTGGAGTTTTTATCCAAGACTTAAAACTTAGGAAACACCTATGATGCCACTTTAACTGGAAGTAATGGAGACATCTGATTCCAAATTCACATTTTAAATGCCTATTTGCAATCAGCAAAGGGCCAGGTATGCTGCATGCTGCTTGCTATAAGGATTTGGCTTCACTGGCTCAAATGTTTTCACTCCACCAAAAGACAAGGCACAGGCCCATTTGTCCAATCAAGTTTGCTGAAAATACTGCAGCCTGAGTGTAGACAAACTTCCCCTGAATTTGCTAGAAGTTTTCTTGTGTCTGGCGGTTTCAAGATCACCATACATCTTTCAAACACTGAAAAAAAAAAAAAAAAAGTGATAAAAGGAAATGTTATAGTCTCTAAATGTCATTCTCAGCAGCCACCAAAATGATTTCAAATTCCACAAGGACAAAAAAGCTTTAAGACGGTCCAAGTTATTATTTCACACAGACATAGTTGGCATTTACATGGCAAGGGCTTTGGGAGTAGAGCACTAGTCAAGGAAGTTTCCATGGTTTACACAGTAGTTGGCATTCTGAACCACTCCTACCCTTTGTAGTATCATGTGTTTAGTTTAACATGTATGGTTGCCAACTCCCTGCTCAGCTCAGCTCCTTTCTGGAGAGACTATTTCATTCATTCCTTAGAGGTTCAATATCATTACAAAAATAAAACCATTTAGACAAAATTTTAAAGTTAAATTCTAGTATAAGAAATTCCAAATAATTTCTAAGACACTTAATAAGAAGCAGTAAGGGGCCAGGTGTGGTGGCTCATGCCTGTAATCCCAGCACTTTGGGAGGTTGAGGCAGGCAGATCACCTGAAGTCAGGAGTCTGAGACCAGCCTGGCCAACATGGTGAAACCCCATCTCTACTAAAAATACACAAATTAGCTGAGGGTGGTGGTGCATGCCTGTATTCCCAGCTACTTGGGAGGCTGAAGCAGGAGAATTGCTTGAACCCAGGAGGTGGAGGTTGCAGTGAGCCAAGGTCATGCCACTGCACTCCAGCCTAGGCAACAGAGCAAGACTCCATCTCAAAAAAAAAAAAAAAGCAATAAGGCATGACATATATGCTCTATGTGCCTGTGACTAGTTGATAATTAGCACCTTTATATAGATCATGGATAAATTTATTTCATCCCCATATACAACCTAGATTACCATGTTATCCCCATTTTAGAGAAGGAAAAACTGAAGCAAAGAATGATTAAGTTAGTAATGGGCAGATGCAGGATTTAAACTAATACAGATTTACTTATATACCATACAACCTTAAAATAAGAATAAAATAAGAACTTTTGGTAGGCATTATATACTTTTTTGAAACAGGGTCTAGCTCCGTCACCCAGGATAGAGTATGGAGCGATATGGTCCAATCATAGCTCACTGCAGATTTTTTTTTTTTCCCCCAAAAAGAGATGGGGCCTCGCTTTGTCACCCAGGCTGGAGTACAGTGGTGCGATCAGAGCTCGTTGCTGCCTCAAATTACTGGGCTCAAGGTATCCTCCACCTCAACCTCCTGAACAGCTGGGACCACAAGCACACCACTATATCCAGCTAATTTTCAAATTGTTTATAAAGACAGATTCTCACCATCCTAACCAGTCTGGTCTCAAATTCTAGGCCTCGAGCAATCCTCCTGCCTTGACCTCTCAAAGTGCTGAGATTACAGGTGTGAGCCACAGCACCTGGTCCTAGACTAAATCGAAAAAAAAAACAAAAAATGTATTTTTAGGAGCGGTATGATAGTATAGATATAGGATATGTATAATAATATTAGAGATGGGGTCTCCCTGTGTTGTCCAGGCTAGTCTCAAACTCAGCCTCAAGTGTTCTTCTTGCCTGGCATAATAAAGTGCTGAGATCACATGTGTGAACCACCACACACGGCCGTTATGCATACTTTGACATGTAAATGAAAAACAGGAATGTTTTAGACTGCAGTCTTATTTCATATGGCCAGTATGAAATATCTAATGGAGTTTTACTGCTTAACAATGAAACTGAAGACTCCTAACTGCTAGCAAAAGAAAAAAAAAAAAAAATCAGTCTCAGAAGGACATGAAGATTAATTTATTTCAAGATTAAATTTGCTCTAATAACAGATTCTACAAATGGTACAAATGTAAAATCGGGTATTTAAAAAACACAGAAATACTGGTTAGGATGCATCTTTTAAATGTGGTTTCCAAAGTGACCACAATTTGGCACTCAGTTTAAAATACCACACGCTGAAAGGCTTCTCCTTTGATACTAAACTCAGATAAGAAAATCAATGACCCAACACTATTGATCAATATCTATTTTACCCCTCTTTTGGCAGTAGCACCTGAATTTAAAACTGCCCCATCACCTAATCTCAAGCCCCTAAGAGGCAGTTTTACCACTGAGCCAAACAAGTGGCCCAGGCATGGCCAGTTAGAGCCCTGCATATCCCAGGTCGTTGTGGTTTCAGGGATGGATGTAAGCCAGGCCAGTGAAGGCCAAGTGTTCTAGGAGTATCTCAGAGAGTGAGCTTGGAGGAGCAAACCCTTGGATCCAGCTGTATCAGTCAACCCTGGGACTCTCAGTTATTAGAGTCAATGAGTACCACCTTCTTCATTCCTAGCTCTAAGAAATAGCATCTTTGTAGATGCTGAAAATTAAGCCTTCATATTCTGATAAAATGTGGAAATGCCAGGAAAAGTTAAACATTTAGCCTTCTCAAAATGCTTTTTAATCCCAGTGGTATCCAGTGGAGTTTGATTGTGTAACAGTGAAACTGAGGCTGGGCACAGTGGTTTACACCTGTAATCCCAGCACTTTGGGAGGCCCTGAGGAAGGCAGATTATGAGGTTGAGATGGAGATCATCCTGGCCAACATGACAAAACCCTGTCTCTACTAAAAACATAAAAATCAGCTGGGAGTGGTGGTGTGCACCTGTAGTTCCAGCTACTCAGGAGGCTGAGGCAGGAGAATCGCTTGAACCCGGGAGGTGGAAGTTGCAGTGAGCTGAGATCGCGCCACTGTACTCCAGCCTGGGCAACAGAGCAAGACTCCATCTCAAAACAACAACAACAACAACAAGAAACTGCAGACTCCTAACTGCTAGCAAAAAAAAAAAAAAAAAAAAAATTGATCTCAGAAGGGGATAGAGAAAATGTTTCCTCTTCCCCTTTAGCTGTAGCAAACACTTAAAGATAGTTGAGAATTACAACTGCAGACATTTACAAATCTGATTTCCCTTTCAAATAAGATCTGTGTTAAAACATGTTTTTATTTTGTAATACACTGTCATTAAAGTATTACATACAAAGAAGTCTTTAAAGATATCTTGATTTCACCACTGGTGCTATATGCTACAGAATGAACCTTTAATCCCTTAAAAACCCTGCAATTCTGCAGCCAAACATGGTGGAGAACACCTGTAATCTCAGCTACCAGGGAGGTTGAGGTGAAAGGCTCACTTGAAGTCTGGGTGCAGTGGCTCATGCCTGTAATCCCAGCACTTTGGGAGGCTGAGGCGGACAGATCACGAGGTCAGGAGATCGAGACCATCCTGGCTAACATGGTGAAACCCCATCTCTACTAAAAATAGAAAAAATTAGCCGGGTGTGGTGGTGGGCGCCTATAGTCCCAGCTACTCGGGAAACTATAAGTACTTCCTATGTGTTTTTACTGTTATTCTGGACTCAGATTATCTAAATGGAAAAACTAAGATCTCATAGAAAGTTTGTTCTTTTTAATCATCTTACACAATAACTTGCAACATAAAGTTACAAAATGATCAAATACAGTTTTTATATTTTCACGTAATTAACTGATAACCCTCCAGACAGAGGTAAATACTATGTTATTTTTGCATAAAATTTCTCAGTAGGAATTTCTCTTGTTATTTAGAAAGTTTATGTAATCTGACCTCTTTAGAACAGATCCTACGGAAGGCATAGAAAACACACTCATCAAAACAGCAAAGCCCTGTTGCTCAAGGCTGACAGTCCAATAACAAAAAGGGGAAAGATAACACTGATCAAAGTACTGCACTCCAGCCTGGGCGACAGTGAGATTCCATCTCAAAAAAAAAAAACAAACCCAAAAATAAACCCTATGTCCCTATGATTATTGTAATCACAATAGCAGAAGTTATGTATTAATATGAAACTTTAGTTTGTAAAACTTGTTTTCATTCATTAACTCTCGCTCTGTCGTCCAGGCTGGAGTGCAGTGGCACGATGACAGATCACCGCAGCCTCGACCACCTGGGCTCAAGCCATCCTCCCACCTCAGCCTCCCGAGTAACTTGGACTATAGATGTGCATGACAACACCTATCTTTTAATTTTTTGTAGAGACGAGGTCTCACCACATTGCCCAGGCTACTCTTGAACCTCTAGGCTCAAGCAATCCTCCATGCACAGGTATGAGCTACCATGTACTAGCCAAAATATCATTAATAGATTTAAATCTGGGGGCTGACGTTGCCTTTGAGACCTAACAAATACAAACCTTGGAACTTGGCCAGGCACAGTGGCTCATACCTGTATCCAGCACTTTGAGAGGCTGAGGCAGGCAGATCACTTGAACCCAGAAGTTCAAGACCAGACTGGAGCAACATAGTGAGACCTTGTCTCTACAGGGACCAAAAAAAAAGAAAAAAAAAAGCCAGGCATGGCAGCCTACACCTGTAGACCCAGGTCCTCAGGGGCTGTGTTAGGAAGATTACTTGAGCTCAGTAGGTTGAGGCTGCAGTGATCCATGATCCTGCCCCTGCACTCCAGCCTGGATAACAGAGCAAGACCCTGTCTCAAAAAAACCCACAAAAAACAAAAAACAAAAAACCTTGGAATGTAACAGTAAGTGGAGAAAAACACCCTTTCTGGCCATCTGAGGAAGCATTTCTTCCAGCCAGACGCCCAGTCTCTTTCCCAGAAAGGTTTGTGGGCATCTTGAATGGCTAAATGAGGCATATCTCCAACATCTCCAGTGATTCAAGGGGATAGTCAACACGTGTTGGCTGGGTGGATGGGACAAGGCAAGAGAAGACAGAATACTGTGACTTCTTTACCAGACCTCGTTGTGGGTATTAGCTATGTTTACCTGATCCTATAGACAGCCATGAGATCGTTCTCTCAATTTTTTTAATTTTTTTTTTGAGACGGAGTCTCACTCTGTCACCCAGGCTGGAGTACAGTGGCGTGATCTCGGCTCACTGCAACCTCCACCTCCCTGGTTCAAGCAATTCCCCTGCCTCAGCCTCCCAAGTAGCTGGGCTTACAGGCACATGCCACCACACCCAGCTAATTTTTTTCTACTTTTAGTAGAGATAGGGTTTCACTATGTTGGCCAAACTGGTCTCGAACTCCTGACCTCAGATGGTCTGCCTGCTTCAGCCTACCAAAGTGCTAGGATTACAGACATGAGCAACTGCACCTGGCCCTCTTATTTTTTTTTTGAGTCGGAGTCTTGCTCTGTCACCCAGACTGGAGAGCAGTGGCGCAATCTCAGCTCACTGCAAGCTCTGCCTCCCAGGTTCACGCCATTCTCCTGCCTCAGCCTCCCAAGTAGCTGGGACTACAGGCGCCCGCCACCACACCTGGCTAATTTTTTGTATTTTTAGTAGAGATGGGTTTCACCGTGTTAGACAGGATGGTCTCGATCTCCTGACCTTGTGGTCCACCCACCTTGGCCTCCCAAAGAGCTGGGATTACAGGCATGAGTTACTGCGCCCGGCCCTTTTAATATATTTTTTAAAATATTGTTAGTTTCTTGTCACTGCTGTTACCATAAATTGGGTGGCATAAAATAAGAAGTATTCATTCTCTAACAATTCTGGAGGCCAGGAGTGAGAAATTGTGTCAGGGGGGCTGCGCATCCTCTGGAGGCTCCAGGGAGCAGTCAGGTCCTTGCCTCTTCCAGCTGCTGGTAGCTGGGAACACTCCTGAGCTGTGTCAACGGCTCTCTCATCTCTGCCTCCCTGGTCACACTGCTGCCTCCTCTTCTGTATGTGTCTCTGTCTGATTTCCCTCTGCCTCTTTCTTACACAAGTGATTGTATCTAGGGGCCAGCCAGATAATTCATGATCTACTTGTCCTCTCAAGAACCTCATTACAGCTTTTTCCATAGAAGGTAATAGTCACAGGTTCCAGGGATCAGGACGTGGATATATCTCGGGGTCCACCATGCAGTCCACTGGAAACACTTTGCCATTCTACTGTTTGGTTAACAGAAAAGAGTCCTCAAAGTGAAGGCAGAAGGCGTGGATCTTTTTGTCAGCTTCATCATTAGCTGTATGACTTGTGGAAGTTGCCTAACCTCTGTGGGTTTCATTTCTTCATCTGTCAAATGGGCCCATGATGCCTCCTTGCAGGGTTATGCTGTGTCTCAAATGAAACTGTGGATGTAAGTACTTACAAAAGCATGAGCCACTCGGTTATGATGATGAATTTGATACTGATAAGGAGGTGGTAAATATATATATATATAAAACAATACAAGGTTAAGGGGAAAGAAACAAGGTCCAAAATTGCATGAGGGTATGAGAGGATGAAAGGAAGTATTTATTATGCTTGTTTCTGGGTGGTGGGATTATTAGTGACTTCTTTATACCTGTCTCTCTGTTCCAAATTCTTTGCAATGAGCACCCAATACTTTTATAATCCTATCTCCTAGAGTTGGTAAGATAATTAAATGAGATAAATTATGCCAAGTATTTCACACAGTGATCTATCCTTTTTTTTTGTTTTGAGACAGGGTCTTGCTCTTTGTCACCCAGGCTGGAGTGCAGTGGTGCAATCATGGCTCACTGCAGCCTTGACCTCCTGGGCTCAATTGACACTCCTACCTCAGCCTCCAGAGTAGCTGGGATTACAGGTAAATGTCACCACACCTAGGTAATTTTTTGTATTTTTTTGTAGTGACAGGGTTTCGCCATGTTGCACAGGCTGGTCTCAAATTCCTAGAGCTTAAGTGATGTGCCCACCTCGTTCTCCCAAGGTGCTGTGATTACAGGCATGAGTCACTGCTCTTAGCCTGATCTGTATTTTTAAAAATTTGTAATATAAAGGCACCTGACTTTATTATGATGAAAAGATGCAGACATCTGGATTAGAACACAGCACCCGATCTGTTATTCTGTCATGACTCTAAATATAGGGTAAAAAACTAGAGGTGGTGAGTAATGGTTCATAGTCAGTTTAGGACATTTCTGGTATAATGTCAAAAGCTTCCATTTCTAGTCATTTCCTATCCAGTATACTCATGTAAAAATATAGACTATGTGTTAATCAAATTCATAGACAACATTGTGTTCAACAATGAACACATGAAAAGAAAATACGGACCAAAATGGATATCAACAGGCTAGAACAATGTATTCTCACCACTGAGACAAAGACTAGAGAACACCCATTACCACTGCAAAGCATTCATACGTGACACTCCTTGGTAGGACCAAGTATCCTGAAACCTCACCGAAAATGACAGATCTGAAAAAAATCTTCACTTCTAACTTAGAACTGGGGTTTCCACACTTCAGAGCAAAGGGCTAAGATGCAAATTCTTATTTCTCAATGATGACAAAGTATTGGCAACCTCATTTCCAGTTTAGAAACCACATGGTTAAAGCCCACAGGGTCCACAGCCATGAAAATGTTAACAGAATTGGGCATGCCAGCATGCCAACTTCAAAAAACTCAACAATCGAAAATGAATAAAAACCAGTATCAATTCCTGAACACATCCCTACAACTACATCTCCCAAGAAGCCTCAAAGAATGCCAGTATCCTTTAAGAAAAGATTGTGGATTAATGGGGATTGAGGAGAAACTGGACTCAAAACATTAATCTAGAAGACTATTTTCAAAGAAACTTATCAGGGTTCCTGTCGTCTACATTTAGTTCTAGAAAAGAAAAAAGACATGCAACAAAAAACCTTCCAATCATCTTGGATTAAAGCACATGTAAACGTATGCCCAAATCTACTTAAACTCATAATGCTAAGTGAAATAAATAAGCCAGTTACCAAAGGACAAATCAATCTGCTTAGGACTACCTAGAATAGTCACATTCATAGAGACAAAGTAGAATGGTAGTTACCAGGCTGGGGAGAAGGAGCAATGGAGAATTCTTGTTTCATGGGTACAGAATGTTAGTTTGAGAAAATAAGAAAGTTCTGGAGGTAGATGGTGGTACCTGGTTGCACGACAATGTGAATGTACACTTAATGCTACTGGACACTTTAAAATTGTTAAGTTTTGTTGTGTATATTCTACAACAATCTTTTTAAAAGAGGAAACAGGAAAAATATACCCAATCCAAAAGAATCACTACATGACTCAGTGATTATACTCATGGGTACACACCAAAGATAATTAAAAACAGATATTCAAATAATTATGCGTGAGTGCTCACATCAGCACCATTCACAATAGCCAGAAAGTGTAAACAATTAAAATGTCTATCAGTGGATAAATAAAATGTCATATGTCCATAAATGAAATATTATTCAGTCATAAAAACAAATGAAGCATTAACATGTGCTACAAGGGTGAACCTAAACAGATAAACACAGAAAAGGTCACATGTATGATTCCATTTATATGAAATATCCAGAATAGCCAAATCCACAGAGACAGAAAGCAGATTAGTTGCCAGGAGCTATTGGGAGAGAAAACAGGGAGTGACAAAAATGTTTTAGAACTAAATTGAGGTAGTAGTTGCACAATGTAGTGAATATATTAAAAACCACTGAGTTGTAAATGAGTTTAAAATGGTTAATTTTATGTTATGTAATTTTTACCTGAATTAAAAAAAAGAATACCCAACTCGTACTCCACATGAGAGATAGTAAATGAATGTCCAAAGGGAAAAGTCTTCCCTTGCCCCACAATAACAACTCTGATCCATTAATGTTGCTTAGATTCTATGTGCCTAGATGACAAACTTAATTCTAGTCTTCATTCCTTCCAGGATATCTGATATTTTATATTACACTGAAGAAAAGAAGGATTCTCTCAGTTGATTTCTAAATGCCTTCAGAATCTTGATCTCTATTTGTTTGGCCCTTTATAATTTAACTTGCACATCATAA